GCCGACACAACCACTCCGTCCACTCCCAGCGCCGACTCGTCGGCCATACCTATCGGCGACCGGTTGGCCACCGCCTACTCATGCGGTGACCTGCGGCTAATGCTGCCCCGAAGACTCACCGCGTCGTTCATCGAGTTCCAGCACAACGCTCACCGGCGCCGCCGGCGGACCAAAACACACGTCCGCAACAAGTCTTGGTTCCCGAATCAGCGGCAGATCACCGGCGGTCTGGTCGACACCGTAATGATGACCACCACCGGGAATCAGCTCCGGTATCGCGTGCAACAGTTCCGCCACTGTTGGGCGGCGTTGAAAGCGGTGCGACACAAGCGAATCAGCGTCGATGTGGGCAACGTCTTGAGCTCAGTGTTGGTGGACATAGTGCTCGGTGTGATAACCACGTTGTTTCTGGTGCTATACTCGTCGCCCAGCTATTGGTTGGACGCGGCGCTGACCCACACGGACTCACTGGTCAATGAGGTGCAGTCATTGCTGAACCTATTGATGGGAATGCCGGCGGGTCTTAAGCTGAACCGACCGCTGAACACAGCGTTGGGTCAGTTCTTCCTGTACCACATCTACCTGTGGAAGACATACATGATTATCATTAAACCCCTGTTCGCCATCACTGTCGAGACACTGGTCTACTGCGGTGTTCTGGGCTTTACGTGCATTATCTCTGTCCTGTCGGATCTGCTATCGTTGGCCACGATTCACATCTACTGTTTCTACGGCTACGCCGCGCGACTCTACGGCCTACAAGTGCTCGGATTGTCGGCCCTCTGGCGGCTATTCCGGGGCAAGAAGTGGAACCAATTGCGCGCTCGAGTGGACTCGTACTCGTACGGCAACGATCAGCTCTTCATCGGCACCCTATCGTTCACCATATTGTTATTCCTGTTGCCAACGGTACTCATGTATTACATGGTGTTTCTGGTGCTCCGTGTGGTGACCCTCTCCTGTCAGGGGGCGCTCTGCCTGTGCATTGAGTACATGAGCTCAATGCCACTCTACATGATATCGCTATGGATATGCGGCAGTAAGAAAGTGGCCGCACGGGTCAGCTTCGAGCTCATCACCAGCCCCTGTCTGACCACCACTGCCCCCGCCGGCGATCATCCAAGCAATAGGTCCGCCGCCGCCACTGTGTCCACAGTGCAGCTCCTGTTGCGCACCCAAAAGGTGCCCTTCCGTACGGTATTGTCCGCCCGTAACGAAGAGATCAAGTCGTCGCTGAGCGGCCCCCGAGTCTCGTGGTCTGACTTTATACACTCTGTCATTTGGGGCCGCATTATATACCCCCTGTAGTCAGTGAGCACCGCTATGCCTGCACCCCCCACCCCCACCCCCGATGCCTTAATACCAGGGGTGATGTGCACCCAAACCCTTACCAGTGATTGTGATTTTTGTTATTATTTTAATTATCAATTTTATAACCAAAGATATAATGTATTGTTATTTCAGACCCCAATCGGGTGGTAGTATTGAGGGCTTAGTCACGCCTCCCCTCCACCCCGGCCCCACACATTGCCACCCAATACATGCCGTTCCAGATATTATGCACACAAAATATAATAACAGTATTTTATTTGTTTTTTTAAAGACTATTGTATAATACAATTTGTATTGACAAATATTTATTAATTGATTTGTATTTTTGGATTTGAATTTTAAACTTATATTATTTGTTAAAATAAAAGTTATAACACTTTTATATAAATTATTAAATGTGGAATTTTTATTATCTACTATATATACAGTATAGTATATATACAATATGTACAGTATAGCTAATCAATTTATTTTAATATAAATATTTAATCTAAAATAGTTATTCTCAATGCGAGTGAATTTTTGAAATTTTAATTATTTAATAATTTTTAATTTATTGATAGTCTTATGTTAATCTTATGGGAAATGTTTAATGCAGATTAAAATACAATGTTTAGTGTATTTTATTGTGTTTAGTTTGAATGTTAATAATGAAATCATATCACACTTTTGCACATAAGCTTAGTTAATAGTTAAATAAAGTTTTAAACAAGTTAAATCAAATGTCATTCATATTATTGGATTGTTTAGTATAAATATAGTGAACCCTGGTTTATAATTATCAATTTATTGACTAATATACTATAAATTATGGTAAATTTTATTGAATTTTTAATCAAGTCATTAAAAATGTTATGTTAAACTTTACATTTAGTTTTAATCCAAACTTAAAGTTGATTTTAATACTAACCTTAGTTTACATGAATATATCAATTATTGCCATTAATCTCATTAATCTCATTCAGTCCGTAGACAATAAGGCTACATGTTTTGAATTTAATTTAGTTATTTATTTAAATATAATTGATTATAACTATAACTATAATTTTACTTACAATCAAAATCAATGTCTGTAAACGAAAACCTATTGAAAACGCATATATTATGCGACGATATATTGATAATGATATTCAAT